TTTATACTAGTAACACAAATCTTGATTATGATTTCTTTGTAGTAACTTTTGAAATTGGAACACATGAGTCTATTTTGTGAACTCTGCTTTTCATTTCAAAATTTTCTGGTGGTACTGCATTTTCCATTAATTTTAGAATCAGCTTGCCAAGTTGGAAAAAAAAAGTCACCTTCTATTTTTAAAGAGATTGCATTACATATAGATGTAAATTATAAATTATAGAATTTGAAAAATATTGCCACGTAGCAATATTAAATCTTGTGTGTGGTTGGTTCGTTTGTTTTTTGAGATGGAGTCTCACTCTGTTGCCCAAGCTGGAGTGCAGTGGTGGGATCTTGGCACACTGCAACCTCCTCCTCCCAGATTTAAGCAGTTCTCCCACCTCAGCCTCCTGAGTAGCTGGGATTACAGGCCCCCACTACCATGCCTGGTTAATTTTTGTATTTTTAGTAGAGACAGGGTTTCACCATAGTGGTTAGTCTGATCTTGAACTCCTGACCTTGTGATCCGCCCCCCTCAGCCTCCCAAAGTGCTGGGATTACCAGGCCATCCCTAGCCTTGTTGACTTTTTATTGACTATTTACCCTGTTTACATCCTCCTGTACAATGTTGAAAACAAGTGTCAAGAGTAGACATCTTTGTCTTGTTTCTAATCTTGTGGAAAAAATAGAGACTTTCAGATAAATTATGATGATATCTGAGGTTTTCATGAATGCCCTTTAAAATAAAGAATGTTTTCTTATAGGCTTAATTTGCTTTGTATTGTTATCATAAATGGATTTTGAATTTTTCAAGTGAATTTTTTGCATCTTTTGAAATGATCATGGCTTTTGTATTTGGACATTACACTAATTATTTTGTATGTTGAACCAAATTTGCATTTCTGACCCAAATACCCTTAGTGATGGTGTATAATTCTTTTTACATTTGCTGACTTCTTTTGCTGACACTTCCTTGAGAATAATTGTTTCAATAGTTATAAAACATATGGATCTTAATTTTTCTTCCTTGCAATGTCTTACTTTAGTTTTAGTATCATAAAAACTTACTAAAAGTATACATTGGAAAGTGATCTCTTCTCCAATTTTGTCATTGTTTTTTAAGTTTTCTTGAAGAATTTGTAATAGATTGTTATTAATTATTTTCAGGATTGAATAGTTCGCCAATGAAGTCATCTCAACTAGCACAGAGCCTCAACTCCTAACAACAATCACATGAGCTTCATCTTAGTTCCCCAGATGAACCATCACTTCAGACCTCATCCTTGGCCATGATCTACATCTGGATTCATGATCCAGAGAAATTGTAATGTGTGTGTGGTTTTGAGCCATCTAATATGTTATAATTTATTATGCATAAATAGATAGTCTAGCCTGCATAATAGCCTAGCCTGGATGCTGGCTTGAGTGCTCTCTTCCATTCTTACCACTGGATGTGGAGAATGGCTTCATGAAATTCAGCCAATCTGTTCTCAACTCTCAGTTCCATCTTCTTAACTTCAAAACTCAGAATATCTTCAAAAGCCCATGACTCGCTTCAGGGTGGAAACTTTCCAAGCAGTATCTTGAGGCAGTGGTAGGGCTCATGCCACTGTCTTGTATGTCTCAGATATCACTGTCCTTGTTTGACATTATCTTACAAGCCATTGTTCCACGTATTTTGCCCCTTTTTTGTTTGTTTATACATGTGGTATAGCATGTCTGATCCTCAGAGGGGGAGTATTAGAGTAGGGTTTTGCATTATCGAGAGTTGTGGATCATTGGGAAGCATCTTAGAACCTACCTGCCACATCGGGTCCTGTCTGATCTGTATCAGTTTCTCCGTCTTTACTTATTTTGTTGATCTAGGCCCTTGTGAAAAGAACTTGTCAGGTATTTTTTTAGATTGTATCACACAATATGGATTTGTTATATTTTCTTATAATTTAACTAACATTACACATTAACTTATACACATATTTATCTAACTTTGAAGAAAAATACTGAAAAGTATATTATTTAGAAATACAAAAATAGAAAATAAAGAAGAGTGAGAGAATGACAAAAAGCAAATTAAATATTATAGTAACGTTCACCAGGATAAAAGAGAGGATGGAACATATGTGGTGCATATGTGGCAATATAGATAATATTCAGTTATTAATCTTGACAGTGGATTCAGAAAAAAATGTAACTTTTCTATTTTAATCTACTTAGTCTATTGGAAGTCACTACAGAGAGTGTATGTATGTCCATCCAACACAGGGTTTTCTTTATTATTAACTTCTTACATTACTGTGTAGCATATTTTTCACAACTATCACACCACTGTTACACATTTTCATTCATGTAACAAGTACACATTAATTGTATATTTTTGCCTTAATGTCAGTTTTCTGTTCCAGGATTCCAACCAGGACACCACATCATATTTAGACATCATGTCTCCTTGCGCGCTTTTCCACTGTGCCAAGTTCTCAGATTTTCCTTGTTTTTTTTTTTTCACGATACTTATGCCTACATCTGGAATTTCTTTGATGTTTTTCTCATTATTAGAGTTCATCCCAGGGGTGCAAGGCTGGTTCAACATACACAAATCTATGAATGTAATCCACCACATAAACAGAACCAAAGACAAAAACCACATGATTATCTCAATAGATGCAGAGAAGGCCTTCGACAAAATTCAACAGCTCTTCATGCTAAAAACCCTCAATAAACTAGGTATCAGTGAAACATATCTCAAAATAATACAAGCTATTTATGACAAACCCACAGCCAATATCATACCGAATGGGCAAAAACCGGAAGCATTCCCTTTGAAAAGTGGCACTAGATATGGATGCCCTCTCTCACCATTCTTATTCAATACAGTATTAGAAGTTCTAGCCTGAGCAATTAGGCAACAAAAAGAAATAAAGGGGTGAAGGACATGAACAGGCAATTTTCTAAAGAAGACATTTATGAGGCCAACAAATTCTCATCAGCACTGGTGATTAGAGAGATGAAAATCAAAACCACATTGAGATATCATCTCACGCCAGTTAGAATGGCGATCATTTAAAAATCTGGAGACAACAGATGCTGGAGAGGATGTGGAGAAATAGGAATGCTTTTACATTGCTGGTGGGAGTGTAAATTATTTCAACCATGTGGAAGACAGTATGGCAATTCCTCAAGGATCTAGAAATAGAAATTCCATTTAACCCAGCAATCCTGTTACTGGGTATCTGGGTGCTCCTGTATTGGATGCATATATATTTAGGATAGTTAGCTCTTCTTGTTGCATTGATCTTTTTACCATTATGTAATGCCCTTCTTTGTCTCTTTTGATCTGTGTTGGTTTTAAGTCTGTTTTATCAGAGACTAGGATTGCAACCCTGCTTTTTTTTCCCCCCTCCATTTGCTTGGTAAATCTTCCATCCCTTTACTTTGAGTCTGTGTGTGTCTTTGCATGTGAGATGGGTCTCCTGAATATAGCACACCAGTGTGTCTTGACTTTTTATCCAATTTGCCAGTCTGTGTCTTTTGATTGGAGCATTTAGGCTGTTTACATTTAATGTTAATATTGTTATGCGTAAATTTGATCCTGCCATTTGTTACTGACTGGTTGTTTTGCCCATTAGTTGATACAGTTTCTTCATTGCATTGTTGAACCAAAATAATATTACCTGTGATAGGAGTTGCAAGAGGAATGCAACAAAAGGCTTTTCTACAACCTTTGGAATGCAAATCAGGAAATCTGGAACTAGGGTGTAGGTTTCTCCTTAAGCCAAAATGCCCAGTCTCTTTGCTGGGAGAAGACCTGTTATGCAAATTAAATGCTGATGTAACTTTCTCCTGAGAGAAACAGCTATGTTTTGAGGTCCTTCTAGAGCAAGCAATGCCACTACAGATGTTACTCACTTCACCTAAGAAGTAAGATTAAGCTCTCTTTTTCCCAGAAATCTGTGAGAGAATGAGTAATTGTGAATGGGCAGGTGGGATCCCAGGAAAGGCAAAGAATGCACAGGCAGTGCATATAGAAATAAAAGAAGGAGCTACCATGCCTGGGGAGAGAAAACTGAACAAATTTTAAAAACCTGAAAACAACTAGTACCCATTAATAAAGGAAGCTTTAAACAGAGTACAGCATGTATTGCAGAAATTTCTGAAAAGTGAACTGATCCATCGTTGAAGATAACCATGCAATACCCCTTTCCTGCTTGTAAAGAAGCCATGCTTCAGCAAATATCAATTTGTTCAAAACCTGAGAGCCAGCAATAAAGTAATCCAGGATATTCATCCAATGGTGCCTACTCCATGTTCTGTACTGACTACTATACATGGAAATTACACCAGTATCCCTCGCTGCACATTGAAAGAAGCTAAATATTGAGAACCCCTAGTATATTGCTGTTGTCTCCAATATCCGTGTCAATCTCAAATAATTCCCATTATCACCATTCCCCACTATATGTATTCCATATCTTGAACAACAGGCAGTTGTGAGGAATGCCCTGGTTGTATTTTTCACTGCTGTAGAGGACCCTGTGGACATAGGCCTCTCCTCTAGACCACCCCTACCAAGAGCTGAGCCACAAAGGGAGCCTGTGAGCTCAGAGCCTCATGGTGAATTCTACATGCCCAAGGAAAGCAGCTCCCTGCTTTGCTTTTGGTGGGGCTGGAAATTCCCTTCTTATATATAAGAATATGTTTGTTCCACCATCATTTGTGACCAAAAGACACATCACCAGGTCATTTTCTTGTAATATTTCTCACTGGTTTCTGGTTTTGGTGTGTAAATATCCTTAGCACTTGGTTAAATTTCTTGATTTTGATTACATAAGCATAGTGTATAATCTATTTCTTGAATTGTGTATTAAGACTTTGATTTTTTGTTACAAAATGAATTTATAATATCAAATAGACATTTTAATTATTTAAATCTTTTTACAGGTCACTTTTTCCTAAATCAAATGGGAATTTGACTTTTATTAGAAAAGACAGATGTCACATATTCTCTGTTTTATCATTTTCTAGAATGTTCCCTGAAATGCTACTAGTTCAATAGGACAAGAAGTACAGAGATTCTTCTGGGAGCTGCAAGGTAAAATTTGCTGAGTGTCATTCTTAGAAAGAGATATGAAAGTTTGTATTTTATGGCTAAGTTTGCACTATTCACAAAAAGTTCACAAAACATCATTAATTTCTGTATGCAAAACACTAGCACTTACTCTGAATGTAGAGCCAGCCACTTTGTTACTGTTTCCATGTGAACTTCATTACATTGTTTGATTTTTCCCTTTACCCAGTAGCTGCAAACATTGGCTGTAAACCATTATTCTGTCCACCTCAATCCATAAATGTCTACATGACATTTCTTTGTACAGATTACCCATACTATAGATAAGTATGCTCTTTATATTCTTGGAGGAGTAATCATTCAAATTGTTTTCAGTTCTCAGTGATAAATTTTTAAAAATCCAATTTAAAAATGTGTACATACTTTTGCTTTAGTCCACACATATATCTTTAACAATTTCTTGGAGAAAATGTTAAAATCTTTTATCCTTTTCTCACTCAGCTTAATGTTTTAAAGACTTTTCTTTTAGCAAGTCTTTTAGATACTCGTTTTTGTTGACATAGTAATTTACCCACCTTCCTATTAAATAATAACAGATCAACTGATGTGTATTATTTTATACTGAACCTTTGGCACCTCTGACATGTTTTATATATAAATAGTAATCCGAATGTCTTGGCCAGTGAAAATGGGATTCATCAGCCAAGGTTGAGTAGGAATATTCGCACCTGAAAGCAGCAAGTGACACAAAAGCAAGAGAAAAATAGAAAAAAAAATTTAGGAGACCCACAAGCGGACAAGGATTTATTTAGGGTTTGAGATGGTACAGGGACACCTCATATGAGCCTGTGGACCACCACAACCATGGAAATAAAGGAAAATATTGAATTCTTTCACAGAAATTTCAGGTACCTCTCTAGCTATGAGAAGTAAATGAACAACTTGATAAGCAGCAAGGTAATAGTAGGTTAAAAGAATAGCAAGGAATTGAGTCATGAAAACATGGGGTTCCTTATAGAAACTAAAAATCAAAGCTTAACATACGACCCTGAATTGTTTCTCAGAAACCAGGATTTCTACCAAATTGAGTGGCATATAGACCTCAGGTAAGGAAGAACTATGGAATGGACTCTGACCACCATTTTTTATTCTGTGTTTCTTCCTGAGGGGTCTGTAGGAGGTTATATCTGCAAGCCAGATTGAGCATTATTTTCTATTGATCACAAATTTTCAGAAAAAGTTTCACTTCCTTAATCACAAATCAGAAAATCTTTGAATCCTTCCATGACTTGTAAGTCCCTTCTGCAAGTGATGCCATTCTCTTAGGCCAAAACCAATATGGCACCTCAATATATTCATTTATTGATTTACAAATTTGTGTGTACTCTCTGCCTTTCAGTCTTAAAAACCCTTAGCGTAAGCCATCTGGTAGTTTTGGTCTTAATTATTAGCTGCCTGACTCTCTTTACTTGGTGCCCTTCAATAAATGCTGTTTACTAATTGATTTATTTAAATTTATTTATCTACTGATTGATTGATTGAAACTTCATTATGGATATCTAGTCTTACTGCACCTGGCAAATGTACACAAGGTTGTTTTGACAACAGGCCTGCAATGTGCCAAATGAAAGTGTTGAAAGAAACATGTTACATTGTGAAGGAAGCATTCCTACAGGATGTATCTCTGAGACTTAATATCATATATTTACATGTAAGAAAGTCTTCAGTTGAATGGTCTAATAACTGTTATGGAAGAATATGGGAAATCTGTTCAGTATTTATGAAATGTGAGCAACTGAACCCAGAAACTCTGAGACAGGTCTCAGATAATTTAGAAAGTTTATTTTGCCAAGGTTAAGGATGTGCCCATGACACAGCCTTAGGAAGTCCTGACAACTTGTGCCCAAGGTAGTTCGGGCACAGTTTGGTTTTACGTATTTTAGGGAGACATGAGACATAAATCAATATATGTAAGAAGTGCATTAGTTATGTCCAGAAAGGCAGGAACAATGCAAAGCCCTCCCTGTCCCCACCACTCTGAGGTTTTCCAGGTCACAGGTAGGTGAGAGAAAAGTGGCTATATTCTCTTGGGTTTCCAGTAAGTCTTTCCAAAGGAGGCTATCAGAATATGCATCTATCTCTTTGAGCAGAGCAATGACTTTGAATAGAATGGGAGGCAGATTTGCCCTGAGTGGTCCCCAGCTTGAAGGGAACCAAGATATTTTCCTTTCACATTTCCCTACTTTTCTTTTTTAAAATCTTTTGGAGAAAGCATTTTAGGATAAAGTGAGTCTCTGTTCTCACATTTCATCTGATCTCTCATGGTTAGAACAGTTTATTCCTAGATGGGTATGTTCCAAAAGCTCATATTTAACAGGTTTTAAAGTTTCATGTTCTTTGAAGAGAAAATGAGGGGAGAGAGGCAGAAAAACAAACAAACAAAAAAAGAACAATCCAGGAAAAATCTATATAGGATCTAAAATCATATATAAAATATTTATATATAATATAAAAATCTATATTACTCTGAAGACAAAATATTAGTAGGTAGGTATGGAAGTGGCTTATGTATTTAAATAGATTGCTGTTATTTTCTTGTGAAATGTTAAGTTGCCTGGCTTTAGTTCGCAAGGATTTAAGAATACACAGCTTAGTTTTCAGTGACTCCAAGTTAGGAAAAACTGAAACAAATTTAAAAAGTAGGAAATATCATTTTGAAGACTTGTAGCCAAAAAATTGGAATTTGCTTCAAACTGTAAAAAATAATGAAAATTGAAAAAGGCATTAGGCAACATAGAATCTAACAACAGATGTAATATAGTTTGAAACATATTTTTCTCTCCAGTTTCCCATTTTTACTAAAGACAAATCATGGTAGGACTGATTTGCCTTATTATACTTGGCTTAATTATTTGTATACAGTGCAGCAAGAATAGTTTTCTTACATAGGCTTTTGAATTGGTTTTGATGGAACTTTTTCCATAGGAGGAATGTCAGAAAAGACTTTTTAAAGCTGATCCCAGCCAAGGCTTTACCATCAGATACTATGAGTTGGGTGAATTTTGTCTCCTTTTGAGGTTCCAGGATAAACTTGGGCTTCTGGACCTGTCAGAAAGTGACAATCTTTACTTACCGCAGGTCAGAAACCCTATACATAGACTGTGTAAACAAAATATGAAGCCAGTTTTTCCAAGAGCTTTACTGGCTCCGTACGTCAAGTCTGATTCCCTAAAGGAAAGCGCTCCATTCCAGTTAAAGCCTTGGTAAAATAACCAGTTTCTGCAATTGTGTCCTATTGCAAAGGAAAGCAGGTTTGTATTGCACTTATGCAAATAACTGTATTGTCATAAGTTAGAAATACAAAGTTTCCAAATTCTGGATAAATCAGATAGAGAGAAACAAATATGCTCCAAATTTTGTTTATAGGAGTATACTAAATTGTTGAAAACTGTTAGTAGGTCAAAAGAAAAGTTTTAAGACTCTGAAAAATAAAATGGAGGATCAGCAAATATTTTAAGCAAAAAGTCAAAAAGATTAGTTCAGTCCATGCAGTTATTTCCTGTTCTGCTTGAGAGTAATGAACATTTTAGTTTTCCATGAGTCCTGAATGTTTTTCCTCTCTTCTGATATCAATCTCCAAAGTTATCAGAAACCTACATTTCTGATAACTTTATAGGGGTTGTTTTATAATCAGCTATAAAATTATAGGGGTGGTTTTATAATGAGCTGTAATTTGATTATAAAACCACCCCTATAAAGAGGACCAAAACAAAAAACAATTGTGGATGACAAAAAGTTTTAGGGCAGCCATTGTCAAAGACACGATTGACAAGGAAATTTGTTACCTCTGTGGCACACAAACATTTTAACATAACACTTATGATTATTGCTGATAATATACAGTAAGTTATATCAGAATTATAGGAGCTTCCCATAATTTTGGAACATATACAAATAACATATTGATACAAATATAACCTAATGAAAACCCAACATCATTTCATATTTGACAGTGTTTCCTATATGATTTTTATACCAAATAAGCCAAGTTACATTATTTTTTCAACTTCAGTGAACCTACTATCTTAAAGAATTAATGAGGTCAGGAAAACACATGATTTATATTTGATTTTGGAAATTTTGTCAAATAGCAATTTTTTTTTTTTTTTTTGAGACAGAATTTCGCTCTCGTTACCCAGGCTGGAGTGCAATGGCACGATCTCGGCTCACCGCAACCTCCGCCTCCTGGGTTCAAGCAAGTCTCCTGCCTCAGCCTCCCAAGTAGCTGGGACTACAGGCGTGTGCCACCATGCCCAGCTAATTTTTGTATTTTTAGCAGAGACAGAGTTTCACCATGTTGACCAGAATGGTCTCGATCTCTTGACCTCGTGATCCACCCGCCTCGGCCTCCCAGAGTGCTGGAATTACAGGCCTGAGCCACCGCACCTGGCCTAAATATCAAATGTTTTAAACACTCGATACCACAAAACAGGATTACAGGTTATTGCAAAGTAAGTCATTCATGTAACTAAAGTGATTACTCCAGGATTTTTTTGAAAGGTGAAAACTTTTATTATTCAAGAGAGAAGACTTAATTTTCCAAACAATAAGCCCTAATAAAAATAGCATGAAGTCAATTAAATTTGTCTTTCAAAATTTTATAAACAATCTGTAAAATTTTAATCGTGTCTGTAAGCCTTTTATAATCTTTAATAAGATGTTGATTAATGCTTCAAGAAAACCTCATTCATCTCACACAGGAGCCTATATTATTGTCTTGCATCAGTGTGCCTTTGACATTAATGATTAATTTATAGAGAAACTGAACTTATTTTATTTTCCAAAATTGACCCTTAAATGTATGTACCCACTCCTTCCGCTATAGTCGCTATAGTCCCTAGGCCTTGAGGAGTTGAATAGCTTTCATTTCTCTCTCTGTGTCTCAGTAATGCAGTTATTTTGATTGTCATCTTCTACAGAGCCTAAGGATGAGGCTTTAATTGCTGTCAGTGTTGAACAATTTT